AGAACAGAAAGATAAATGCAAAAGGGGCACAGGGAAAAAGCTACTGTATACAAATACTCCAGGGGTGTATAGCCAACTACAAAGGGGGTAGGGAGGGAGGAAAAGGGAAAGAAAAAAAATGTGTGGTGGGGTAACAGGGCACTGACCCACCCAAGGGGAGGGTATTTTTGTGTCTCCACAGGGAAAGAGGGAACAGATTTAAAGCCAGTGCCAGATGAATCCAGCTTGCCGGCAAGGATTCGGGAGCCAGTGGAGGGCTCAGCCCCAATACCAGCTAGGTGGACAACTTCCCCTCCCCATAGAAGAATTTACTTGAGAGGATGGCACTGAAACTGCAGCTAGGGGAGAGGGGCATGTCTGGTCAGAGCAAATGGGAGCAAATGAAGGGGGGGAAGAGAGAGTGGAGCACATCCTGGCCAACTAGGCCTGGAGGACGATATCCCTGCTCCAAACAGCCAATGCACAGAGTGGACAATATGACTGATCCCATTACAAGACTCGCCGTCCCTTGATGGCCCAGGGCCCTAAGAGGGACAACACTGGAGACTCTGTCAGGACAGGCCCAGACTGACCCTGGGACACTGAGGCAAACCCCTAAATGCGAAGGGCAGAGCAACCGTGGGAGCAGAGCAGAGAGCCCCTGAGAGAGTACAAAGGGCAGACTTTGAGGCCAGAGCATGGTCCCCATCAGACATGACTGAAGGACACACCCAGAGATCAAAAATCAGACCTTGATCTATTTACAGGTTTTTCTTTAAAATTTTTTTTCTTTTAATTAATTTATTCTTCTATGGGTAATTGTATTTTTTGTTGTTGTTGTCATCGCTGTGTTCTAATTCATCGCCTATCTTGCTATGGCTTGACTTATGGTGCATATTATTATATCTCCAGATCTATCTTGATAAGATACACTTGATGAATAGTCTGGAGGAGAAAACAATGGGACCAATGGTTGCGGGGGGACATTGGAGAGGGGGAGGCGGGGGTAAGGAGGTGGTGCTGACCAACCCGCAGACAGGGGAGCAACAAGTGACCCAAAATCAGTGGCAAGGAGGGTGTGAGAGGCCTGGTAGGGATT